CCACTGACTGGAGGCTTGATCATACGTCAAGAGGTCTAGAAGATCTCTTGACGTATGATCAAACACTACTCCAGCAGTGCACTATAATTTTTACTGTGTACAAGCGTTTTACAGTGAATGGTGCACGTCACCTATAGACTACAAACTTTACACAAAAATTCTGACTTCTATTTCATATTCATTACTCAAAAATTCAGCAAATTGAGACATATAATCTACAGATCTCATTGTGGTGAAGAAATTTTGTATCCTATCCGGATACACTTACCACTGAGATGCACTTCCCTTTCCCAACTCAATAACTCAAAACTTTGGTTGTAAGCTTACCGTTACTTAATGTTACAGTACGGATAATTTGGGCCTTGTCCGGGCAGTTTTGATCGGGAACGTCCCCAAAATGTTCAGTTATTCCGACGTCGGAGCGAAAACACCCGGATACATCCCCAAATTATTCGTAACTTCGATGGTACCACTGATATAACAGGTTTTGGACATCGATAAGAACCCCCGTTGAATTGTACTTTTTATGGGATTTATTATATACGCTGACCACCTCCTCTTATTATTACTAGGATTGTTATTATGATGCACATCTATAAACTCCAACTGGCCAAATTGTAGTCGGGAGGTATTATTATTTAATGTATATTTAATGTGGTTAAACCCATAAAATATATGCGTTAAATCCCCAAGACATACGTTTTATTACGGTAGAGGTAGGTTAAAGATCAACCTACCTCCGGATATGAGGTACGGATAATTTATACATACAAAAATGAAGATAAATCTCGTGTTCACCCCTGTGGCCAAATTCTGTTCGCCCATGTAAAATACCGCTAGGTTAAATGTCTATTTCTTGACCAATTTTTCACCAAATTAAATTTGAGACGTAGAAGTTCTTCACCGCAACGAGATCTGTGGAACTACGTCTTTATTTGCTGAAATTTTGAGAAGTGTATCTGGATGGCATAATTCCCTTATCGAACAGAATTTCGGGTCAAAACAACAGTAACGTTAGGCCTGTCTTAATCGGGGAATTACTCCAGGCTATGTAGTGGAGGAACTCCCAAACAAGCCTGCCAAGGTCATTACACCGCTGTAATCGTCTCAGAATTCCTTCCAAATTCCTACTACACCATCACGAACCCATTGCAGGGCGTTTTGGCAGTGTCATTCCTCATTATTCATTTTGCCATGAAGTTCTCCCTCCTCAGTACCATTGCATTCTTCGCGGCGGCGGCCACCGCCCAAACCAACAACACCGTCACAGGCATCGACGGCGGCGCTCGAACTCTGAAGGAGGAGGCTACCGAAGTAGACGATTCCAAGTTGAACCTCGAGTGTCACGAACAAAGCGGTAACTACATCCCGTCCCTCAAAGCCGGACAGTACTCGACCAGTGCGTTCCACAACTGCTTCCGCACTATCAAACAAATCTACGAGTTCGCCGATGCGTTGGTCGCCCAAAACCCAAAGTTGCTGAGCAAGTTTGTCATCTCCAAGACGTACCGTGGGGCCACGATTTACGGGTACAAGTTGACCAAGGGCCACTCTCAGTCGCTGTACTTTCAAGCGCTGCAACACGCCCGCGAATGGATCGCGGGGTCGTCGATTGTGTTCTCGTTCGCGTCAATTCTGGATGACATTGCCAACAACAAACCCACGGCCGCCGACGAGTACGACTTGTACTTTGTGCCGGTCGTCAACATTGACGGCTACGCCCAAACATGGAACGGCAACCGGTTCCAGCGCAAAAATGCCAATCAAGTCGACTTGAACCGCAACTGGCCGACTCCCTTTGAGAACCCCAAAACCCCTCCCAAAAAAGCCTCTATTTACCCCGGACTTAAGCCGTTCAGTGAGCCTGAAACCGCGGGCATCAATTCATGGCTCAAGACTAAACGCGGTGAAATCCAAGGGTTCCTTG